AGTGAGGAATTTGGAAGAAAAAGACATTCATCTACTTCTGGTGAGGAGAGTAATCATCATAGACTTCCACCTAATTCTTCTACAAAGCCACCAAATGCTGCTAAACCTACATCTACCAGTCAGCTTCAGGTCCCAATAAACGATCCCAGAAGGAATACTTCACCGGAGTCCAGTGACAATTCACATTAAACAGTGCTGCCTGTGGCCTGTGGTCTCAAGAAATGGTGAAATGCCTGAGAAATAGACTCTTACGAAAGTTCTTTGTCCTTGAAGTCAACGTTTACATCAGTATTTATTTAGGGAAAATCTTCTGATGTTTAATTGAGATAATCAGAAAGAAGAAAAAGAAAGAAAAGTGGTAGCATTTTTTCTAACAAGATAAATTCTAAAAATGTTTTCCCTGATTTCACAAACAAGGATAGTCTTGGTGACCTTTTATAGAGATCCTCTAGTAATGTATTTTGATCTCAGATTTCTTTTTCAAAGCCATGGTTTTACAAAAACAGCATTCCTTAAATATATTTAAAAAACAATACAAGGAATGCCTAACATTTCAGCTCATACTTCTTAAAGAAGATATAGTATGTTGTATTCTTCTATTCTATAGAGCTTTCTTAAAGAATCCACAATCCAATTACCCCACTGTCAATTCATATTTGAACTTACCAAAAACAAAGGAGGATTACGTATATATTTTTTAAATTCAAAAAAGAATATGAAATTATACATTTAGTATTTCTTTGAGACATATAGTTTAAACTTTTTTTTTAAACAAAAGTAGGAATATATAGCAAGATTATAGTAACAGTGAGTATATGCACTTTTGATGCTAGGTTTTGCTTTTCTCCCCCCAGTCATATCTCATGATTTCCACAGTTGTTGTATTGGTGCGGAGTTTTCTGAATTGGCATAAGCTGATTACATATTAGAGGTTTATTTTTATGATTCTATATAAACGTGCACAAGTAATTTAAAACCTACATTGGGGTTGGTTGGAATATTGTCCTGAACTAATTAAATCTTGCACTGTTTTGAATGCATCTGCTATTTATACATCTGCAAGTGGGTAGGTCATAAGGAGTCAGATTATCTTTAATTTAAAATGAATACTTAGTTTTACCTTTTTATTTTTTGTTTAATTTTGTTTTGTCTTTATAAATGTTTTCAAGAGTTATAGCAAATTGATTTCTAATTTTTATTGCTATTACAACTGATGTAAATGATAGTTTCAGTTTTTGTGAGATTAAAAAAATAAAGCACTTATTCTGAATTTTTTGAATTTTGAATTATTTTTATTTAGAATATAGTTGAAAAGCTGTAATATTCAGTTTTGCTGGTAAAAGACCATTAATTTTTGTGAATGAAGTTTCAATTATAAACTTACATCCACTTTTATTGAGCACTACATAATTTACAGATATTTTGTTGTACTGGCAAAAGCAAGTGGTTTCATTATGCTAGATTAATTTGTATTTTCTTTTTGAGCAGATTGGATGTCTTGTTCTTATAAATTATAATATTGAAATGCGTATAATCTTTGGATGGATGGGCTGTTAACTTGTAAATAGGTTTTCAGTAAGTTATTTCTCATAAGTAATAATTGGCAATTTTATAATATTTACTGTTTGGAGGGTCATTTTGATGCTTTAAATTGCTGAAATACTCAAATTTGAATATTCAGAAAATAAATTTATTTAGATATATTGTAAAGAGACTGCAAAACAAGCAATGGGTTAGAATAATAGATCTTCAAGTCTTTTCTTAAATGGGATATGTAGTTCCAGCTTTTCAGTGAGAAATTTCCAAACCATGCTTGTTAGCTTTAAATGGTCTCTTGAAATGATCTATAAATTTTTCTCAGTGTCCTTTTTGTGTTGAACACACACATCTGAAACCTGTATTTAACCAGATATTTCTACTCAACTGAATATACAAGTGTAAATTTGATTGGAAAATTGTATATTATAAATGAAAATACCATAATCAAGAGTTTTGTGGTTTGTTTTAATTAGTAGTTTTATCATATTTTTATTATAAAAGTAATACATGTACGTTGGGAAATTTAGAAAAGCACAAAGAAGAAAATAAAGTACTTGTTATAAAAAGAAGAAAAACCAAAATTGGTATCAGGCTATATATAATGTTATAACCTGCTTTTTTCACTTAATGGAGTTGAACGTTTTCCAATGTCATTAATATTTCTCATTACTTTTTTTTTTTAATTATAGAGGCAGGGTTTTACCATGTTGACCAGGCTGATCTTGAACTCCTGGTCTCAGGTGATCCACCTTCCTCGGCCTCCTAAAGTGCTTGAATTACAGGCATGAGCCACTGTGCCTGGCCAGTGATGTCATTAATATTTCTATTTCATGGCTTTTACTAGTTACATAGTATTCCAGCATGTGAATATACCACAGTTTACTTAGCTAACTGCTGACTGTTGAACTTTGACTATGGCTAGCTTTTGGCTGTTACAAACAACAGTTAATAGGCCGGGCATGGTGGCTCACGCCTGTAATCCCAGCACTTTGGGAGACTGAGGCGGGTGGATCACCTGATGCCAGTAGTTCAAGACCAGCCTGGTCAACATGGCAAAACCCTGTCTCTACTAAAAATACAAAAATTAACTGGGTGTGATGGTGCACGTGTGTAATCCCTGCTACTCGGGAGGCTGAGGCACAAGAATTGCTTGAACCTGGGAGGCGGAGGTTGCAGTGAGCCGAGATTGTGCCACTGCACTCCAACCTAGGCAACAGAATGAGACTCTGTCTAAAAAAAAAAAAAAAAAGAGGAAGAAGAAAAATTTTAAATTTAGAAAAGAAGTCAAAGGAAGGCTAGGTTCATCATCTCTGCTTTGTGTTGTAATTTGTCTTGCAGTTTTGTGTAAATGGACTTGATGACCCAGGGATAGGGTTAATAAAAGTGCCTGTCTCTTGAATTAAGAGCTATTTTTCTAGAGTGGTCTAACCAGTTCTATCACAAAGACATCCTTGCTCTATATTTGAGACTCTTGTCCCATCTGAACATAAGCCAAGAATTCAGGCCTCCTCCTTTAAGTACAACGGAGGATTGGATAAGGAGGTTACTATCTTAATTTATCTCCACATAAAAATACTATTTCATTGGTGTCCAGTTCTGGGCTCCCAAATCTTGGTAACTGGAAAGGCCTAAAAAACTGACTTTTTTTGAATGCAGGATGCCTTTTCACTGGGTACGTAAACGTTTGAAGATGTTTAAATTTGGTACCATCAATAATACTCTCCAGTCTCCTTATCATAGGAATTCTAGATAAACCTTCAAACTTGCTAACGATAATTTAACTTGGCATCTTTTTTATTCCTCTACTGCTTTCATTTATCTGTTAAACATTTTCACTTAAGCAAGCCTGGAATAGGAGTTTAGGATTGAGAAAGAGACTGGAGATACAAATCTTTTACAGCTGACGAAATAGAATAAAGAAGGCAAATTGCCTCGCTGAAACATTTTCTTGGAGGCAAGGAACCCAGCCTTATACTTGTGCCCTATCAGATAGCTCAAGCCTAAAACATGAGAGAAGCTTAATAAACACATGTTGAGGCCGGGCATGGTGGCTCACGCCTGTAATCCCAGCACTTTGGGAGGCCGAGGCGGGTGGATCACCTGAGCTCAGGAGTTTGAGATCACCCAGGGCAACATGGTGAAACCCTGTCTCTACTAAAAATACAAAAAAATTAACCGGGTGTGGTGGCGGGCGCCTCTAGTCCCAGCTACCTGGGAGGCTGAGGCAGGAGAATCGCTTGAGCCCCAAAGGCGAAGGTTGCAGTGAGCCGAGATCAC